CCCTCCCCCCCCTCGGGGGCTTCGCCCCCTCGTGTCCGCTTACTGCCCCCCCTGGCATTTTGCTCAGGCTACGGCCCTGAATCACGTGAACTTGCATATTTTGCGTAATTTCATTCAGTCTTACTTGAGTAGAACTTATACGCGATCAAACCGCTGTATTAATTAAGGCTGTTCTGTTCGTTTAACAACCAAATACTGCTTTGTTTCCCTTACCGTACAGGTACGTTGCTTTTTTGGGGTACAATAACACGTACCCCAAAAAAAAGCTGATAAATATTCTTTGTTAACTCAGTTTTATGTTGAAGATAAGAAAAAGTGTTAATTGCAGTCGATTATGCAGGGCCTTGCTTCGATCGTCTGCTATATATATATATAGGGGAGACCGGGGCTAGTTGGACCCCGGGGTAAGTTGCCCCCCCCCCCCCGTCAATTTATGAAAAAGTAACTACGATGTAAAAAAATTGGCCACATACTCTTATAAAGTGACCGTAGCCTACAATGCTAAGGAAGTGTCGGACGTTAAAAAGTTTTACTTAAGCGGTGAGTCGAAATAAACTTTTTTGCACCTAAAAGTAATTTTGTTTAAGATATTTAAAAATCTATTTTCATATGCTTTTGATCGAATATAAGATATGTATAGGGCATCAAACTGAAGCTCATTGTTTCACGGAGATGTATCATCGTTGCTCATTCTAGCACCATAAATGGCTAATATCCTTTAAAATAAATAATGTGCACCCGGGGCTAGTTGGCCCCCTTGACTCGGGGCAAGTTGGACCCTCACATTACCCACAATCCTTTGCGCGCAACGCTGTTTGAAATAAACAAGTTGGTGACAAAGCTTGCCGGTGTTTACCGTCTGATTGTTTTATTTAATTTGCTCTCTGGTGTTTTTTTGAAAATTTATATTAGAAATGTTCTGTTGATTATATGTATTAAAAAGCGAAACTTTCTTTAGAAAAACATTTATTTTGCCTTAATTCATTGTAAGGGGATTCAGTTTGTATTTACAGTGTTATATGTGGCCCCAAGGGGATTTTCCACCCCTCCCTAGCTAGAGACCATTGTTGAAACAAACTCAGTGGTTTAAAACTGAATTTGTTACTTTCTTTTAATACGAAATTTATTATTCGTTTTCAATTATTAAAAACCTGCTTTATGCCATTATTAATTTATTCTTAATTGAAACAAAACAAATTTTATTGATAGATATTTTGGTTCTTGCAACACATATCCCCCCCCCTACAACGTGACGTACGGAAACCTAAAAAAATCTGCCTCATTTGAACTATTTATTCATCAAAGACTCAAAAATCAATTTAATAAATTAAAAATGTATAAAAATGTATTTCAAGGCGTTTACATGGGATATATGCTTCATTTTCGTATAGGGGGGCCAACTTGCCCCGACCCTGGGGCCAACTTGCCCCGTGGCGGGGCAAGTTGGCCCCCCTGACGTCAACTGCGTTTTTTGTCAAATCGTGAGCCATCTGGCATTATGTTTGAAAAATAATGGCGTTGCATACGTAGCTTAGTTCATAGGGCTTACTTTGAAACCGGTTTTGTAGCTCTTACCCATTCCTAGTTGGCTCTACAAGGCCAAAAGTGTCTAACGGGGCCAACTAGCCCCGGTCTCCCCTATATAAAGCAGACGATCGAAGCAAGGCCCTGCATAATCGACTGCAATTAACACTTTTTTTAATCTTCAACATAAAACTGAGTAAAAAAAGAATATTTATCATCGTTATTAAGATGAAAAATATTTATAATGTAAGAAGACGCCCTTAATCTACAATTCAATTTTTATGGCGGTATATTGAAGCACGTGACACCTGTCATTTTCAACATGGACATGGCAAATGTTGTCAGGGTGTTTATGGCAGGGGACTTTGATACTAGGACGAGAAATAGACCAAATCCTACCTCATCCGTCTGACCCAACACTTTACGAAGCCCACACTGGGACGATGGACGCACGGAGCTATATAAAACAAGTCGTTTCGAAAAAAGGAGCTCTGACGAAAGATCCCAGCTTTGACTACATCTGGGGTGATGCGTTGGATATATTAAGTGAGTACAACCCAGACTTTCGAATAATCAACTTAGAGAGTGCAGTAACCACCAGTGACTCCCCGTGGCTATATAAAGATATATTGTTCCGCATGCATCCAAAAAATGTGGATACTCTAAAGAGCATCAAGGTGGATTGCTGCGTCCTCAGTAATAACCATGCGCTGGACTGGGGATACTCAGGATTGGAAGAGACAATAAAAACCCTTCAAAACAATGGCCTTGGCTTCGTTGGTGCCGGGAAGAACATCTTTGAGGCCGAAAAGCCGGCAATATTTGATCTTTGGAACGGCAAAGGGCGCATCGTTGTGTTTGGACGGTGTGAGAAATGGGCACGTGCCTGCGTCGTGGGCAGCAACGCCCGACAGAGTAGGGGTCTGCAACCTGGCCATGGTAAATATATCTGAAGAAATCCAGTTGTTAACGGAACAGGTGAAAAAGGTTAAGAAACCAGGCGATCTCGTCATTCTGTCTTTTCACTGGGGAAGAAACTGGGACTGGACGGTTCCAGAATACCAGCAAAAATTTGCTCGTGCTGCAATCGACTTTGCCGGCGTTGACGTCATCTACGGACATTCATCTCACCACGTGAAGGGTATAGAGGTTTACCATGGAAATCTCATCACTTACGGCTTAGGCGATCTGATCAATGATTTCGAAGGTTCGATCAACCGTTACCTTGCTCGTTTATCAGAAACATATCATTACGAATGGAACTTAATGTATTTTGCCGACTTCAACCAAGAGAACGGAAACGTCCTCAACCTTAAAATGGTGCCGACTTCGATAGAAAAGTTCCAGGTTAGAAGAACCGACGAAGATGCTGCAGACTGGCTCCATAAGCAGATGGACAAGTTGTGCAAGAAGTTGGGAGCAGGCGTGGAGAGAGTCGGCGACGAACTCCAACTCCTGATTGCTAATCCCCTCGTCAAGGGCGAGCTATAATACACGGGATGATTGTAGTATTAACTTGGTCATTTGATGAATTGAATGCCCTAATGACCGGGCGTTTGATGGAGTGTTACCAACATAGCAAACGGTTTATGACCGCATCGTCTTTTATTTCAATATATTACTAGAAAGACATAACCGTTATTCATGGAGTCAAACAAGGAGGATAACTGGAATCGTTACGGTTACGTGTTGTTATTTCAACCGTCTGGGTTCACCGACTTTTTGGAAATTAATTATTCGATCGCTTATCTATTTATTTATCACAGTAATTGTATTACTCAGCAATTTTCCCGTGATGAATTTTGAGATGTCACAGTATTGTTAATGATACATGTATGTACATCTAAATTGCTACTCATCCTTACAAGCATGGTTGAACAATATGGCACCAGTCTATCCCATTGCATTGGATGGCACCGTTTTACCGGTTTTGACGAACTTATTATTCTTCATTATATGCTACACAGGCATTCATTGTATATTCTGTATTCACAGACAAAAATACGCATGCGGGTAATAAATTATTATGCAAAGAGAACGCCTAAAGCATCTTATACTATAGTAGTGTATTATTTTACTGGGTCTCTTGTACCTTGGTTAAATACTCGTGCAATCATTTTATTTCAATATAAGAGTATTACTTGTATATGAGTTTTTAAAGCCCTTTAGAAATACACCATTACGATAAAATGACACGCACACAAACACACACAGTATGCATCAGTAGGGGTGTGCAGATAAAAAGGACTGAAATTTGGGGTTGTTCATACAATAAATTTTATTTTTAAACAATTTGACGGGGATGAATTTCCCCAACCTATCTTATTTCCCACGTTGCGCTCGGGAGTCGCAGGCCAGGGCCCAAACGTTACAATATCATACTGTGCCTAACATCTTTGTAACAGAACGTACATTTAGTCTATACAAAATTGAATATTTATTGTCCTATAGTCCTATAAGCACAGCAACATGAATCAGACTGTTCGCCAGAATACTTAGTTCTCAAAAAGAACATGTCGACTAAAAATGCCACGGTGTATAAATCTCTAAATTAGCCTCTCAATAATTTCAAAATGGCTCCAGCAATTCTCACCAAAACGAGCACAGATGCGCGTAGAACGAATCTGTTTGGCTGCTGGTACAATAATTTATAGAAATGTTTTTGAATTCACTTTTGGTAAGGGCAGTTATTAGAATGACCACTGCTCTCCAAGGTCAGTGTCCTTTAGTCTGTCCACCAGGCTGCCCACTGCAGAATCATCTGGAACACAAAGGACGGTTTCTGAATTTAAATTTCAAATTTCACACAGAAAGGTAACAGTGTGACACTGAATATATGAATAACTAAGAATCAATAAAAATACACACAGTTAAATGACTACATTTGAATTGTTTTCAAAAATAAACAAATGAAATCTATAGCAAAGGATAAGCATTTGTGCCTAATTGAAAAACTTAAAAAAAAACAACATAAAAACTGAATTCAAAATCATGAGTAGGCTGAAGAACGTGGCCCCTCCACAGCTGAAGAGTGTTGCAATACCTGGTATTGAAGACAAAATTTCTATTTGCCAAATATAAATAATTTATGTATATAATTTCTGTCAAATCAATATTTCTTAATAAACCGATGACAAATTTATCAAATAAGTACAATATTCTACATTCTCTTTTGCCATGGCATACTAGACTTTGTTCATTAGGCTAAATTTAGGCTAAAATTAATCATCCTAAAAACAGCCTAAAATGTACTTAATTTCATTTTAACTTCCACTTACCTTTGGGTAATTTTGTAGCATCTGTAAGCGGTTGTACGGGTATAAGAAGGTTTGGTAAATACGCTTCTGTGCTCTTCTTCTTCACTTGTTTGAAGAAAGAATGGCTAAGTAGATCTGTCGCAGTGGGTCTGCAGGGATAAAAACTTCAATTATTTGACTGATATTTAGCTACACTTCCACACTGTAAGGTTGTATTTAATTCAGACAACATAAAAATGATTGAGACATAAAATAAATAAATGAAAGAATAAATAAATACATTAAAAGATAAATAAATAAATAAAACTGAGTGACTTATTTCAGCAAACAAAATTCTTATTATTCTTATAATTTTCTTTTTAAAATGTCAAAATCAATATAGGGCTTAGTGTTCAATACGTCAATGTAAAAAAATTCTATTTTGAGAATGACTTGCACGTACATATGGGAAGAATTCCAAACTGTATGTGTGTGTTTTTATGCCTGCATGCTCATGCATACCCTCAACATTTCTGTTTCCACTCACCTTTCTGTGGGATCCCTTTTAAGACACGACTCCACAAACTCATGAAAATGTGAAGAAAAAATTCTTTGGTACTTGATGGTGTCTCCTCGAGAGTTCCCCTCACTGTCTCGAAGAATACCGGAGTCTGTGCCCCCTGAAAATATGCATGTATACTGATGTGTGTCAGGTCGAATTTGGATAGTCAGTACACTGAGATTGAAGTGAATGATTTAAAAACAAAAGCCAACAAGACAATGACAACTGAATTACGAAGAGTACTTCACAAATAAATTTTGAGAAAAATAGTAAAGCATTCTTTAGCCAAATTTTAAAAAAAGGTTTTATTTGGTATTTGGCTCAAAAAGAATGCATACTACCTTCCATGTTTTGATTTTCCTCCATGATGTAGTCAGGGACTGTAGTATTATCCAGCAGTCGTGGCGTTGTCCCACTCATCTTCTCCAGTAACATTAACGTCAGTGGCATATCAGCAAAAGGCACACAGCCGTTGGCCAGCTCACACGCTGTGATTCCAATACTGTAGATATCTGACTTGTTGTCGTAGCCAGCCATATTCTGGAAGCAGTGAAAAGAAATATGACCAATGTCATCAACTTTATTTTGTAACACCACTCAAGACATTAACAAAGATGTGACTCCTACAAATTTCAAAATAATACAAGCTACAATACAATTTATCACTTCTTCAAAATATTTCCATGTTTTTTTTTCAGTTCAGCCACTAAATGATTATCTAATATTGTATCAGTAAATCATTCCAGAAAAGAGCTGCTACCTGTAGGAAGATAGCGTCCCTTTTAACTGAACTGATTGACCAGTTATTCTACCTGTTCTAGTATCTCTGGTGCCATCCAGTGGAGAGATTTAATAGCAGTGGTGGGGTAATCATGGACCACATGCTCCTTGGCGCCACCTACGATTGTGTCGAGCATGTACCGCATTCCAGACAAACGAACTTGCCCATTAGCTGAGACTAAAATGTGGCTGGCTCTTATTCCTCTGAATAATAATTAAAAAAAAAATAATAATAATAATACATACATACATACATACATACATGATACAAATATTCAAAACCAATATGGTTCACCCCATATATGTTTGTGTAATCTGTCATATTTAATTTCATCTTAGTCTTTAACATTTTCTTCTTTTCTTTCTTTCTTTTCTTTTTTCCCCCCTCTACTGCAAACTTTAACTCCCATTTTGATTACAACTTCATTTTGTATCATGTGTTTAATTAAGTTTACCTGTGTATGAATCCTTTGGCATGTATATATTCCAGTGCCTGCAGCACATCTCGTAGTATAAAAGCAATGGCTAACTCTGGCAATCCTTCTGTGAACTGGGCATGACAAACTAAGTCTCGGCATGAGCCTACATGAAAAAAAAAATGAATTCAAAACATTATCGCTTTGTCAAAAACTAGACAGCAAGGCTGGCATATTAACAGACAATGAAAATGAGGAAAAATAAATAAATAAATAAATAAATAAATAAGACTAAAAATAAAATAAATAAATTAAAGAATCACTTATTTTGCAAAGGCAAGATTCTTGAAAAATAAAAATTGGACAGAAAAAGTTAATCACAAGTACATACCATATCCCATCAACGGCATCACAGCCCACAGCTCCTTGTTATGAATAAAAGCAGAATACAGTGGCAGAATGTTGCTATGAGCAAACTGCTTTGATGCCAGGATTTCATGCTGAAAAACCAATGCGACTGTGTTGAAATTTCTTATCTAGAACTGGGGTAATGCTCTTCTATCTCTTATACAGTTTGTATGTACTTAGTAGTCTGTGGCATTGTACATAAGCGCCATTTTCATGATGCATTTGCTTACTATAAATTTTAACTGTATGGCTGTTAAATGCGTTTTGTTGAAGATTTATCCATTTTACCTTACCTGCAGTATGCCAAATTTTACTACAATCACATTCTTACCTGCAGTATGCCAAAGTCTATGTCACATTCTTCTAAGTTGATCCTGCGTATGGTAATGTGAGTCCCAGAGGGGATATGCTTTGCCAGTGAAATGGTGGCCTGTTCATTGCAAGCATGACCTGGGGTATAGAATATATACAGGCCACATTATCAGAAATGTAGTTGAGAAACAGATCTGTCTTATGTGCACTGTGATGCTGGTAATCTGATGGTTGGAGCAGCTGAATGTAAACTTACACAAACAGAACAAACAAAAATAATTCCACCAACTTACATGTACAATGTATAATGAGAAAGCATTAAATAAAGACAATTTCTCTAAATTTTCTTGTAGCTAAATGTGTTCTGCATTTGGAAAGAATCTATTATGATATAAGGCCAGGTTCACAACAATTGGATCTAGAGACTAACTAGTTTGCTGATCACATATGGTGCACGCTTGACAATGGATTCCCGCCTCCCAAGCGAGTCTTCCCAGCATGAACAGAACAATTAAATCAAATGGGTCACGCCATATCTGATCCGCACACTACACAGTCTGCAGATCAACTAATTGTGAATGTGGTTTTAGAGTGATTCTAGAGCCTCAGACTGTCGTGTCCTACCTATGACAGTGAAGATTTGGTAGTCCTCTGGACGAGGCCTGAAATCCACCATGTTGTAGTTTGAAGCAGAGGACGTGGAAGCTCTGTCACTGGCACTGGAAGAGCTCCATGATGGGGATTCTCTTCTCTGGAAATACAGAGTACGGACTGGTAGACTACACAATACACTAAAATGTTACCATTGTTTTTGCCATAGAGCATTGACTTAAAGTTGTAAATTGTACTGAAATCCCCTCAGTTAAATCAAAAGAGAACAAAGATCAAAGGATTATATTTCACGTTTTTTCTAATATTTTGGTCAGAACAATATCACTACTAGTATTTTAAATAAAAAACTTGATAAAATTTTGACCAATATCAGAAATGAAATTTCACCAATAAAAGTTACACAGAGCTGTCGAATGTATATATATGTATTACTGTGCTTGATATCTTGAAAATTCACTTTCTATTAGTAGTGATTTTTAAACAAAATGACACAACAATGACATACACCCATTAAAATGTGTAGAAAGAGACTTGCGTGCTGTCTAAAATACAGTTTTAGACCAGTACATCTAACAGAGTAAGCTCATTTTATATGAGAGAGGACATAGCTGTNCATTATTGCTTCGTCAAAAACTAGACAGCAAGGCTGGCATATCAACAGACAATGAAAATGAGGAGAAAAATAAATATAAAATAAATTAATAAAAGAATCACTTATTTTGCAAAGGCAAGATTCTTAAAAAAATAAAAATTGGACAGAAACAGTTTATCACAAGTACATACCATATCCCATCAATGGCATCACCGCCCACAGTTCCTTATTATGAATGAAAGCAGAATACAGCGGCAAAATGTTGCTATGAGCAAACTGCTTTGATGCCAGGATTTCATGCTGAAAAAGAGAAGCTGCCATATTGTAATTGCCATATTGCCATATTATATAAATCAGTAATAATGCTCATCTATCTCTTCCATAGTCTGTGTATGCTTAATAGTCTGTGGCACTGTACATAAGCGCCATTTTCATGAGGCATTTGCTTACTATAAATTTTAACTGTATGGCTGTTAAATGCGTTTTGTTGAAGATTTATCCATTTTTTCTTACCTGCAGTATGCCAAATTTTACTACAATCACATTCTTACCTGCAGTATGCCAAAGTCTATGTCACATTCTTCTAAGTTGATCCTGCGTATGGTAATGTGAGTCCCAGAGGGGATATGCTTTGCCAGTGAAATGGTGGCCTGTTCATTGCAAGCATGACCTGGGGTATAGAATATATACAGGCCACATTGTCAGAAATGTAGTTGAGAAACAGATCTGTCTTATGTGCACTGTGATGCTGGTAATCTGATGGTTGGAGCAGCTGAATGTAAACTTACAAAAACAGAACAAACAAAAAAAAATTCCACCAACTTACAATGTATAATGAGAAAACATTAAATAAAGACAATTTCTCTAAATTTTGTTGTAGCTAAATGTGTTCTGCATTTGGAAGAAATCTATTATGTTTTTAGGCCAGGTTCATAACAATTGGATCTAGAGACTAACTAGTTTGCTGATCACATATGGTGCACGCTTGACAATGGATTCCCGCCTCCCAAGCGAGTCTTCCCAGCATGAACAGAACAATTAAATCAAATGGGCCACGCCATATCTGATCCGCACACTACACAGTCTGCAGATCAACTAATTGTGAATGTGGCCTTAGAGTGATTCTAGAGCCTCAGACTGTCGTGTCCTACCTATGACAGTGAAGATTTGGTAGTCCTCTGGACGAGGCCTGAAATCCACCATGTTGTAGTTTGAAGCAGAGGACGTGGAAGCTCTGTCACTGGCACTGGAAGAGCTCCATGATGGGGATTCTCTTCTCTGGAAATACAGAGTACGGACTGGTAGACTACACAATACACTAAAATGTTACCATTGTTTTTGCCATAGAGCATTGACTTAAAGTTGTAAATTGTACTGAAATCCCCTCAGTTAAATCAAAAGAGAACAAAGATCAAAGGATTATATTTCACGTTTTTTCTAATATTTTGGTCAGAACAATATCACTACTAGTATTTTAAATAAAAAACTTGATAAAATTTTGACCAATATCAGAAATGAAATTTCACCAATAAAAGTTACACAGAGCTGTCGAATGTATATATATGTATTACTGTGCTTGATATCTTGAAAATTCACTTTCTATTAGTAGTGATTTTTAAACAAAATGACACAACAATGACATACACCCATTAAAATGTGTAGAAAGAGACTTGCGTGCTGTCTAAAATACAGTTTTAGACCAGTACATCTAACAGAGTAAGCTCATTTTATATGAGAGAGGACATAGCTGTGAACAAACTACCAGGCATGCAGTACATGGTAGCATTCAGAAAGGTTTCAAAGATATTTTGTTCAACTTCAAGAAGAAAACGTACGCAAGGTAACGTTGTATTCCCCCTTCTGCTCACACCCCCACTTCTCTTTCTCTCTCACACACTCACATACACCCCATTTCCATAGATTAGATCGACCTACTTTAGATCGACCTAACTCCCTGGGGGTTCACGCTAAATAGCTGTCAGCCGGGAGGACACCAAAGTTAATTACCCCCTTACAGCTTGTAGTAGGCGGGACGGACATTTAAGTCGGATTATCTGAAGGTAATCTAGTGAGACTCCCCGCGGGGATAGATCGATCTAAAATCTATGGGAATAGAGCCATACACACATGCACACACACATGCATACACACACACACACACACATTCCTGCATCAAAACATCTCCACAGAAAGACAAAGGGTTAATGTTATCATGTATTATAGAAGAAATGGGAACCAAGTGACTAATTTCAGCAGTCAAAACTGTATCTGATGAAACCTTAATGAACAGGGCCTGTGTTGCGATCACCCATTGGTGAAATGACACACAGTTTGACAATTCTAGATTCTTGGTCACCCTGGACATAATTTGTTGTTGAAAAATCTTTTCAGGAAAGCTAATGCACATGGCATTATTTGATCATTTGATACACAAATAATAATTTCATCATGCCAAAATGGATACTAATATGTATTTATCTATGCCATTAAAAAAGCTTCTATTTTCTTACACTTCTGGGTTTTCTGTACAGAGGTTCTTCAATATCAGCCTCTGGGACAGACTTCTTTGAAGAACAATAGCACTGCTGAAAATCATCAAAATATGAACATTACAGCAAATGAAATGTATTTTGGCAAATCAGTAATTCTCAATCTGAATTCCATTTAATACATGCAGTTCATTACACTTCAGATTACCTATCTATGGTGATATGGGTGTTTGTATTAGTAACCAGTTTCACTATATAGTTTTACACTTTCAATTTTTTCATTTTTGTACTACAAATACACCATTTCTCAATCAGAAATTTGAAAAGGGCCATCTGCCTTTTTGGTTTGTGTTTCTGAGTTTGATTTGTGTGATCAATGTGAAACAGTTTAACAAAGCATCGCTTCAAGGCAGTTTTTATCTAATTTCAAACTCAGCAAAAAAAGTTAAGCTTTACCCACTCCCACTTAAATAGCACCATTTAATACCATAGCAATATACATGCTTTCTATGAAATTTGTCTCTAAATAGGCTAGGCAAAGGAGAAAAGAATATAATGTTATTAGATATTACTGCGTCAATTTTTCAATATTTTTCTACTGAAGAGCAGTATAAATTCACCACCTTTCACAGACTAGTTTAAAGCCAACACACTTGATTTTTTTAACATCACTTCTAACAAAATCTCTCATGAAACAGAGCATTTGCATATTAAACTGAAAAGAAAAAACATGCAATTTATGGATTTGAGTGCTCTAAATCCATATACATATGTGCTTTGTGCCATGATATCAAGCAATTACTGTGGAAGAGAAAACAGGTTATAAATTACTATGAGACTGAATAATTATTATCAAGAATAATTCAAATAGGTTACCAGTATTTTATCAGCACAGTGCTAAGAAAAATGGCCTGTGTTAACAATCACCAGAGGTTAATGTATTAAAATAAGTTGAGGTGTTTTTTGTTTTGTTATAAACAAAGCATATCTTCCACTGTGATTTCTTTGTATTTAATGACAATGACAGATAAACCATCAACTTGGCTTTCATGCTCCATGTGCACCTGTCACGGATGCATGTGTGTGCATGTATGTATGCATGTACTGCTGCATGACTACAGAATTTAGAAAAAAAATCTATTGAGTGCAAGGGGGGGGGGGGGGTTGTCCCCCAGGATCTGGAGCACAGGGAGCCCAAATTTGTGAATCTGTAATTTGGTCATCGATTAACAGGGAGTTCAACCCAAGCTAGCCCAACCAACCACCCAACATAAATACTTTGTAAACAATACAGCTGTCTTTGGAAATGTAGGCTTTAGGCTATTAACCTTCTAAATGCCGATGGGACGGCTCTACAGAGAAACCGTTGGTTGAGAGTGATTTCAGCTTCTAATAATTTGTTTTGAGTAAAAAAAGGACGAAAATATCCTGAGTTATCACTTGTAGTTTAATAGCTTTGTTCATGATGTAAATCAAGGTTACCGTAAGAAATTAATTCTATGATATACACACAATTTAACCATATTACAAAAAAAAAAAAAAAAAAATCCCTTTGACCACTCACCATTTAAAAATATTTTTGCTCCAAGTTTGAATTTTGTTAGAAACCCTGTGCAATCAAAACACTGGGAGATGGAAAATTTTAGTATGGTGTAAGGTGGGTTAAGTGGGTAGGGGGGCATAAAAGTAGGCCATGCTCAGTATATGTACATTAAAAAATAGGGCACTGGAAAACATGACACTTTCACCCAAAGTATACTACTTTACTTAGTTTAAAAAAAAACTTAACATTACCACCACCATCAAATCAGTGTCATGCAAATACAAGGGGAACAAAGTGTCCAAATTAAAGATGAAAATCCTTTTCATTCCATCAACTCCCAAGAAGATCCAACACAGCTGCAGATTTCAAACCAAATGTTGTAACTTACGGAATACATATTTCTGTTTTAGTTAATGTACATGTATAACATTTTAATATCTCATGATAAAGGGTAATGTATGAATGAGAATCCAATTATTATTTGATATTGGTGGCATTAAATGTCTAACATGTTAAGCTAATGTAATATTAAACAATACCATGCACAGCAAAACAATGATAAATCAACATCAAAATAACTACAGGGAAAATCTACCTTGTTACACACTTACAACAACCAAATAAAACGAAAAATACAACAAAAAGCAACGGCCGAAATGCAACTGTTGCTAAATGAATTAAAGAAACACAAAATAAAGTGAGTTATAAAAACATAAACAACAAATTTTCAACAGCAAATCACATCTCCAACCTCAATTAACACTACAGTACTTACATTCCAGATACTGCGACTAGGCTATTCTATAAGAGCTACTGAGAAAAGAAAATCAAATTTAGCATGCCTTTATTTATGGTGAAACAATATTTACACGAATTGCTAAACGTGGCCCTTCACCCTGACAAATAAGTCACAAATACCCACATAAAACATGAAGCAAAATCAGCTGGGTTGCATAAATCTTTATATTACCGTCGCCGATCAGGCACAATTGTCAAGAAAACTCGTTAATTGTTGTTGGAAATCTTACCATCAAGGACATCGTACATGTCTGTGGAAACTTACTCTTTGGTGTTTGGAGATTATAAGACGCCAAAATCTCGACTAAATTCGCGCTTTCTCGTGTGCATACTCAGCTTTGTGGTCATGTTTTTATTGTACAGTGAACTTATTTAACTATTCGTACTGCATATGTGTTTGTGAAATCAATAAAGTAGCCTTTCGTCTTGGAAACGTAGTAAAGGAAAATGTCCGGTGTCACGGTCTCAGAGTGTCATCGTGCTCAGTTCTTGGTAAATGTAACGTTCTGAGACTGCACTGAGCAGCTACCCGCTACCAGAACTGTTAGATTAGGCCTACATAGCAACTTATACCACTGAAACCAGTATACCAGGGGCTCCTAAAATAGTATAAGATAATTGGTAACAGCTGCTATACTAGCCAGTGCTACCTGTACGCACCTACGCAGTGAGCGTATAGGCCTACACGTAAATTGTTATTATTATTATTATTATTAGGCCCCTATTATTATTATTATTATTTTTTTTTTTTTTGTGATTGACATAAAAATAGTGGAATGTGGGACTCATTTTGAACAAGAAATGACACTTTTTCTAGATCTGCTCAGAAGTGGATGACGTGGATTGCTGTAGGCCTATAAACGTTAAATTTGGCATTGGCATAGGCCTACATCAAGAAGGCGAATATGATCGCACACAGGCAGTCATTTGTTGATTTGAATAGGTATAGCGCTCGCGATGTAAAATCGCAACTTTGCAGGACATTAAGTTAAACTGTGTGAAATTCACCAGTGCAAATCTCATGTTTAACGATGATAGGCCTACTAATCACTTTCTTAGTTTAAAAAAATACGTATTGCCCATTTAAAAGAGACCCATATGCGCGCCTTCATGCACTGCATCGATCGTTTTCAGGGGCGGGTCCAGGATTTTTTGAAGGGTTGGGGGGGGGGGGAGGGGGTGATCAATAAAATGTTTGCCAAACTTCTTTTTGGGGGACCAATCATATGGTTTAAATGACACTTAACTACATCATATAGGCCTATTGCTTAATTTTTCCCAAATATTCTAAGGGGAGGCATTTTGCTTTGTCACAATTTTGCACACATTACGGAGTAGCTGGTCATCTTCCATATTTGGAATCTTTGGTGAAAATTATACTAAATTACAAAATTACATACTAATTTTTTCAAATACTTCTCGGGGGAGGGCTGCTCAGGTATCTTTCCCGATCCTAGGTGTGGCCAACCAGTAGGCCCTACGTGCACATATCAGAAGACACAATGAAACATATTCTAGAGGCAAACTTTATTCTCGGCTTCTTTATTTCTGTTACGTTTATTTTATGTGACAGCTGTGATTGTTGAAATTGTTAATAGTGTAACAGTGTTCTTTTACAAACGCTATCAGTCCTTCAACCGTTTCATTTACGAGAATCTCGTCGTAGAATCTACAAACTGTTATCTCTGTGTAAGAGCTGTGTCGTGGCCTGGTTAGTAAGTGTTCGTTTCAATTAATGATATATATATATGACAGGGTGTCAACATCCCGGTGCTTTCTTACATTGGGGTCCACAAGCCCAGCTAGGGATACAACAGCGACACGTGTAGTCGTGCCAGTAGCACGCGTCGGAAGCATGCCTGCAACAGCCGCTGTAGTTGCCACAGCAACCACGGTCAGAGCCCCGGATGTGCCAGCCCGCAGAATACGACACAAATAACCATCCACCCCCGGACTCACAGCCCGACACCCTGAAATTAAAGTAGAAAATGCATTCAACAGTTCCTTTGATATGATGGTCTGGGCACCATTATAAATAGGCCTATGGCTGTTGCGTCCCCGGTGCCCGTGAAGCAGTTTGGTAGTCACTCATTTATTTTTGTCGCTGTTCATTTTTAATTCATTTTCTATTTATAGCCTCAGCGCACACTGTAAGCTTTCAATACAGTTAGGATTTATCATTTTCTCTGGAGCCTTCCTTGCAAAGCAGGGCACAGTACATGTATAAGTGCACTTACGTATACAAAAATATCATTGGACTATATGTTGTAAATTATGCTAAAAGCAAATAGAGATTTAGGTATCAGACAAATATACCGAATATTCTTCAATCAGAATATTTTTATTTTATTTTATTCTGAATTGGCTTCATAATCCATAATTAATAATACCAAAAGTACAGATTTACGTACTTGCAGGTCGTGGAGCCGCAGGCTTTTTGGCGAGCAAGACCTTTGGTTAATGTATAGCGTTTCTGGACGGAATGAACTTGGTTCCTTGATCTCTCACTGGTTACTTCCACCAAATGCACCAACAGTAACAATGCAGCGGCGGTCAGTGCAATTTTCATGGTTTTTTAGCTTGTAAAGTTCTGAATATAGAAAAAAAATAATTATGAATCAAAGTAACACCTTCAGTTATATGAATATATATTATTGAAGCAACTGAGCCTGCGAAATAGTGACAGAAGCAGTGACATGTAATCTTTTTAACCAACATAATCTAGAAAACTTATAATACCAGTATTAAACTTATTTTAATTTGTACACTAAATTAAAGCTATCCCTGCTGACAAAGCTTTCGAGCACTGCGTGGCCTGCCTCATATACCCTTTACTTTAAATAAGTGTAGAAATAACTGAAAATTTTAATTTCAAAAGTTACCAACAGACTACGCAGATAAATTTCCATCAGATTAATCTAGAATAATCTTAAGATGCTGCACATACATCCAGAAATATCAAACCTTTTGGTCCAAATGGGTGCGTATATCAAAGGCTGAGCTGTTGAACTTCCAGCGTATCTCGTCGAGACTGAGCACCTAATAAGTTTGTCGTCGGAGCACTTTTCTGCCCACGACCAGTGCTTTGAACAACATAATTGCGTCCGTATTCAAGGTGTGAAATTATATGGGCTCAAGGTATTAGATAAGATAATTGTACCCTCTACAAATTAAGGGTCACAGATCGATTTTTCACTAGAGATTCACAGATATATGTCTCCGGCGAATTCATGGCACATGTCTCCATTGTCGCGTTGGAAAAAATTGCATATAATTTATATCCGACCCTGGTAGAGGGTAACATAATTACACTCTTATATATATATGTCGCATTCAGTGGACAACTTGTTCTGCAACAAGTAACGGATGGTTAACTTGCGGAAGTATAATTATATACGACAATTACGGGCCCTATAGTATGCCATTAGTCTCCAACGCAGAGGTTGCTCCAAGTCCGTTTAGAATTTCTGAATTGATATTTCCGTATTTCTGAAGTGATATTTGAGATGATCAGGGGGAACGCGTTCTTTACCAGATATGCCCGTTTCTTGTATATTTGTCTGTGAAGTCGATTTTTTATCTATAGTGTAGGAGTTTTAATGAACAGGATATACAAAAGGCCTCTGTGATATCGGGTGGGGGTGGGGTGGGGCTTAATTATCCTGTACAAGGGTCACAGGTTGATTTTTCACAGATATGACTCTGGTTCATTCACGACCCTTTTATCTACTCGCGCATGAGAGAAATCTGCGACAGGATGACGCTTTTCATCTTCGGATATTGTTATCTCTTTACTCTCCCTCAAATGGATCTGATTAAGAAAAAATTTATTAACAGCCGTACCGTCCCGGTCATCCGATCATTTATGTTTTTTGATGTATCAAAGTAGGCCTACCGGTACATGTATAGGTCTATCGTTGACCCACTCCTTACGGGCATCCCACGAAAACAAAATACCTGTTTCCTTTTGAGTTCAAAATGTTTTTCTTGGTATTTGCACTGACAGGCCTACCCAACTACCAGACTCGGCACCTAAGGATCCTGAATTAACCGGTATATGGGACCACGCTACCCGTTTTCAAGGTGTGTGTCAGATCGGAGAGAATTGATACTTTTAAAAACCATATAAAGGTAACTTTGAAATGTGGTCTTTCTTATTAATCTTATCATTGCCACAGGACTTCCAAAGACAATGCAGCCATGTTGTTATTTGAAGAAAATTATGTGCACTGAGATGATGATTTCATTTTTCATTTATTTATTTATTATTTTTGCCTTAAAATCTTTTTCACCTTGGAGTGTTTTTCTCGATAAACAACACAAAAAAGGCCTGAGTCAAATATCTTTAATTTTACTTCTCTTTACGTAATGTATAAAAATTGTAGAAAAATAATCTCATTATCAATTTCTATTTCTATTCTAAACATTTCGATTTGATAACGGACAAACAAACATTCGTTAAAATTCAGATTCTGATATGGTCAGAATGCTGTTAAAATGATTGAATATTTAAAGATATCACAGCAATAATATATATATATATATATATATATATATATATATATATATATATATATATATATATAAAGATCTTCATGAAAGTGAAATAAGTGAAATAAAATATGTAACTGATTTACGCATATTTTAATACTTTAAAAGTGTTTTAAAGAAGCGCTTTCCTGTAATAATGAATAATTTTTTTGCATTTTTTATCATGATACTGCTATACTATACTATTTAAGAAAGAATTTCAAGCCAGTCTATGTTTTCGAGAAGGAGTCTAGCGGCATTGAAAATTGGACTGAACATTCTGTAGTACACCAAAAATCCTCTCCTATTGCGTCTTCTCTGCACCCAGTGAGGTGGTATGACAAATTTCTCCTTCGGTTTTGGAGTGCGTTCACGAACTTTCTTCTCCACGTCCTGAACCAATTTACCCAAATTTGTATTCGCCTTCCACACAACCATGTGGGCCAGAAGACGGACAGACTCCACTGGCATCTTTGGGTGGACGCTGGTGATGCGCTCCTTAGCGTCCATCAACTCCAGGTGAAAATTCACTTCGTCTTCGTCCGCCTGCTGCTGTTCGGGTGTTTTCGGCTCCTCCGGCAGTGCCTGGTGAATCTCAACCCAGGTCTTGCTCTCCGGGTAGATATCTGGAGGTGGCAGGGCGTGATCTGGGGCCGTAGGAGCGAGATTCTTCATCATGACAGGCGCAAAATTGCTGTATATGATATGGTATTCTCCCTGCACCGTCTCATCTGTTGGGTCTAATTTCACTGCCATCATCTTCATACGTATGTACTCCAGTTTAGTAAGGGGCACGTACGGTCCCTTAGGAAGAAGGTAATGTGACGGGACTGCGTAACGCTCCTTGGCTGACGGTGACTTCTCCCGGCCGGGATCTGATGCCTGTGGAAAATATATATTATTTATTATTTTATAATAACACAATTACGTAGAAAACAGCTCCATCAACACTGATATCAAACTGCAGTGGGTAATGAAAAATGTATTTGGATTGGTTACAAAATTTCCATTGCTTCTCAAATTAAACTGTCAATGGATATCAGTTCAAATTTAATCAATATAGTGAAACAATGTACATGTGTAGATAGTGTAAAAATCGTAACCTATAAAAATTTGTGTTAAAACAATTAAGTGAATCACTTTAAGAATATTTATCGTACGAAAAAGAGACACTGATTAGGTATCAGACATGGATACATACTGGGGCGGTGGAAGGTAGGTCATTATCTTTCCCCTCTGTGCCATCACTGCGTTCTCCACCAGCTGTCTCCGGTTCACTCACAGCTTTCAAGTCCGAAATATGGGCATTCTCCTCTCCGTCAACTTCATCTCTGGCGGAGAGGAAACTTTCCTCACTGCTGGACGCCTCTGCCGCGTCACTCCCCACGGTTTGGTTGTTCTGTACCCCAGAGTGCTGTGTGGAGTGATCCGGCGCGTCGCTGTTGGCGATGTTTTGCGCCAAAACCAAAGCCTCGGCTTCTCTCTTCTCTCTGCTGAGGTCCCAGGCCTTGGCTCTCTGCTCATTGATGTGACGGATGAGAGGTTTAGACCAGGCCTTAAACCTGTTTTCTACTCTCTCCCATCTATTGAACCGTGCGTGGATGAGATCGCGCTCTTTGTCAACGGCCTTCTTGTTCTCCTTAATCACTTCCCTCAGCCGTGCGCTCTCTCTTATAATTTGACGCTCCAGTTCCAGTTCCCGTTCTTGCAACTCGTAGAGTGAAGCATCTTTCTCCCGCTGCCTTTTAAGGCATTCCTGGTGCGCTTTCTTGGCTTTTGAGAGGTCTTCTTTCAATTCTTTGGTGCGTTTTTTCTCTAGTTTTAACTGCCTTCTCAGCGACAGGACCCGGTGTTGTTGACTGAGGAGGGATTTCTCTAGTTTTATCTGTGTGGCCCGGGAAATGCCTCCAGGAAGAGTGTCAACGTTTAGTCTGGCCTGCCTTGCTTTTTTCTCTACAAAGAAAAGTACACGGGACGAGTAATCGAAGGTGCAGATTTCCTACACAATGTAGTAGTATTTTGAAATATACTTACCTAGTTTAAACAGTTAATCAAGACATTTATGGCGAAAAATTGTTTTTTTTTTTCATTCAAGCACTAGCTATCAGCATATAGTCATTATATGTCATCCAAACCCGCTTACCTCTACGGTAAGACTCTCTTTTCATCACCAAAGCTAAAGCCAAGAACGCTACACCAAAAGTGCAGATATAGCCACAAACAACCAGGTGACACAGGCGTAGCAATGTGCGTTTTGTACAGCGCCGCCAAATTGCGCCCGTTTTGAAGGCCATCCAATCCCTAACCTCGTGCAAAAAGGCTGCAATATGATAAAAAATAATATAGAAATACAATAATATTAACAAATCAGAATAAGTTAATGAACCACTAATCACATAAAATTTGACAAACAAATTCATACATGTCAAACCTTGTTTTCATTCGGTTTAACTTCTGAAGTATGTTTATAACCAAATGTGGACCTTCTGCTTAATAACCTATTTTCTCAACTTTTTAATATTGCAAGAAAAACTGGCACGTACCGGTAATAACTTCTGGTCCCAGTGTCTGTGTAAATCTAACAGTGATTTTGTTTCCCAAGTCAAGGGCTTCCTTGTAAGCCTCCTCAATGGGCCGAGTAAGGGTTTCGATTGTGTTAATCAAGTGCTGGACAAAGCTATGCGGATCGTCCAATATCGCCAAGAGAGGATCGATGACGTATTTATCCAGAAATTTCCCGGTCTTTACCATGAAGCTGTCCAGGAACGACGAGGTGTCAAATGCCAAGAGACATACGTTGTATGCGAAAGGGTTTTCATAACCGGCGCAAGCTTCCTCCCGGGGGTCGGTTGTTGTTGTTGTTGAGAATAGGCCCGTTAGGGACTTAAATCCTCTCTCTGGAAACCCAGTCACCGACTTGGCCCATACAGATGCTTCAAAAATTCCTTCACAACCAAGTTTCACCAGGCTGGAGTCGTGGTGACCGCAGGCTTTTTCTTTAGGCGAGACACCCGAGAGGAACCGATGAACCCTCAACAGACCGTCCCTCAGGTGCGGCGTTATCTTTTTCCCGTACTGCCAAGCTTGTTCAGACGCCCAGTCGAACGTTTCCCGTGTTGTTTCATTGACTCTGTCCACTGCAGATATAAAAAGTCACTATAGTGCCATAACACTGATTCATCATACAACAGAATAAATGCACACGTCTACAGATGTCGCAATAGATATGGATCTGCTTAATTGTTTTTTTTTTATTCAATTTAAGTTACCACAAGAAATCTAGTGAATGTTTAAGCAGAACTAGTTTTTTTTTGGTACAGCATGATGGCTTTTAATTTTTCTAAGAAGCGGTGTATTTGTCAAGAAGAGCCAGGAAACTGTGATATACCTATTAAAGTGGCAAGCTCGCCCCAGTAGCCGTACATGTCTGCTTCACTAACCAGTGGTGGTTTGAGAATTCTAACAGGGTCGCTTGGGAGGACTGAAATAAATAAATAAATAAATAAATAAATAAACAACATATGTTAAAAGAATTTAGTCGCACTGAAACGATATGAAACGTTTGAACTTAACATATACAATGTATACGTAACGAGTCCATCTTTCAGTCAGGATGATAAGACGATGCTTATGAACAACATAATGCGAATACAACAGGTTAAATGTGTAGGATTCACAGCTATGCCTCAAAGAGATTATATTTCTTTAGATTATAGTGTTGAGAAAAAAAAAAGAATCCTACCAGTATCAAAACTTTTGCCTATATCCGGTCGTCCACGTGCTACATCGTCCGTTAACCTGCCCCAGCACTGGGTGGTGTTAGAGACACTCCAGGTATATGCTGTACACCATGAGACAAACGTCTCTGTCCTCTTGTCCCTACCACACTCAGTTGCCACTTGGGTTCGTGTTCTAACCCTACTGTCTTTCATCTCTGAACGGTAACCTAGAATTATAAATAATAAATCGTATTTATTAATTGACAGAAATATATTAATAAGAACGTGCTGTTGAAAATAGGTTCTGTGAACCCTAGGGCACAGTTACTTTTATCATAACTATCTCATTATGAAGAGAAAAATGAATGCTAACTATTCAACTGTCCTCAAAATTAGGGAAACTTTTCGTCAAAAAGACGCAGAGTTGTACGTTGGAAGGTTGCGCATTTTAGGACTTAAAAACACAATGTTAATGTAATTTAGTGAACTGCGTAAGGACACTTTTGAAATATATATTACTCGCTCATATATTAGGTAGATTTGAATTCCAGCCTTTTTTCAAGGTTTATTTTCTTATACGTAGGCTATGTAAGGCAATATCCCAGCATACCGAAAGAAAGTCCATCAGTTGTCAAGAAGATGTCAGATTGATATGACCCTTGAGTATCTCAAAAATGGTTTGACGAAAGGAAATTTGCGATCTATAACGTAGTATTTAGGGCCTACCGGTAAATCCGTCTTGCGCATTCTTCAAAAACGTCTTGATATCCTCTTGGATAGAGTTAAAGCCAACTGTAATCCACGACACGATGTCACCAAATGCAAAATAATCTGAAAAATCACAGGCTGGATTTTGCTTTTATCCATTTTGTCAAACTCAAAATATCTATGTAATTTAGATAACAAATAAATAAATGTTATTTGAATCATCGGGTGTCGGCCCGCCCTATTCTTTTTTCATCCAGAAATATTAATGTTTTTAAAAACCTGTGTAAATTTCTTAAAATAATAAAAGAGAGAAATTATGAATGTTAGAGATTTTATGTATGTGCACATAAGCTTATATATATATATTTATATTTACTTGTACATATTTTCTATAACAAAAGAGAGAAATAAATAAATGAGAAAATGACAAACCCAAATAAAGTTGAAAATAGGCCCAGCTTTATTGAGAATAGCCTAGAATAATCACTGCTTACCGCTGGTCGTCCCGGTCTTTCGAGCAGGAACCTGGTCAACCAAATCACACCGGTACAACGCCCTGGCGGCATCTAAGCCCCAGACAGCTGAAGTAGATGCCTCGTGTTTCTGTCCTGTGGAGCCAGCAGCTCGTCCCTTGACTCCAGTACGCTGCAGGGCCTGGTTCCAGAGCTCTGGCTGTGCGCACGTACGTGCCTGGTCAGGCTCAGCGCTGGATGCTGTGATGATAAGGAATATATTCTACATTTGTCTAAGAATTCAGGAGCGTCTCATATTTTATTCCAAATGTAATACCAAAAGTAGCCTAGCCTTTAGTTACGATTGCATTATTCGTGAAAATTGAAATCTAACATGAATTAAGATTTTTACAGGAAAAAACCTCCGGCAGTCTGTTTATGTGGTTATTTTTCTTTAAGTAATTATGATAACTTACAATGAAAAATAATCATCATTGAAGTGAATGGAATAGATATTATATCTGATTAAAATACCAATAATCCGAATGGAGAAGTTAGAAATCACACTAGATAAACATACGGTAAATTGCGGTTTATCTAATAACGTACATAAGCTAACCTATGCCTCATATCAATATATAAAACTACTTACCATGTCTTGACGCGAAATTACTGTCAGCATTTCCAATGACGTAAATATCCGTGGCCAGCAGATCTTCAGTGGTCAGCGGAAGGGTTATCTTACCCACTTTTGCCACAGGGGCAACAATGTCGGCAAGTGAAGTAGTGTTATTTCCACTAAAATGGAACCCAAAAAATTCCAAGTAAAGTTTTCGTGGATTTGTCTTAATTGCGTCATGTAATTAAAGATGAAATAAGTGTAATTAGCTTCTATATCTGAACTGCTCGGCAAAGTGCTTTCTAAGAGATGTAATGTCACGCCGATAGTAGAAAACTTAGAACACGTTATTTTGAGTAACGTGAATGGAAATATCTTAAAATGACTGTACTTACGTGCGTTTACTTCAATCCATCTAAAAATCTATCACATCACATTCTTTCACTTCCATAAACTTACCTATTCTCCTGTGGGAATGTCCGCAGGAAGTAGCGATCGAATAACGCTACAGTAATACAGTATATAAAGAATAATCTCCTTGATTTCATCGTAAAATATACGCGAAGCAATACACAGCAACATCCATGTTGCCGAAATGCGAAATGCGCTATGAAACTATAAACAAACGACACGTCACATGTTTTATGACGTCACACTAAGAAGAAGACGTATTGCGTTTGACGTATAAATCTAGGCGGACAATTGTGTAAAGCAAATTGGAAAAGCGTAGGGAAAAGTCAACAATTGATCTGCTATTGTTAAAGAAATCCATTTGCCATTTGTACACTGTTTAATTCGTGAAGAATTTTTTTTCTTGCTTTTTTCTTTTTTTTTTCATTCTTTTTTTTTTCGTGGGGATGGGGCGGTACAAATACATTGTTGATATATGTTCATAACAATTCATTCTTTAATACATTAATGTTTTTCAAATGCATGACACAAAAGAATGAAAGATGTAATTCTGTCATATGTTAAATCCAAAAATCAATCATTTGTGCTTTCGGGATGACTCATATGTTTTACTCGTTAGCATAGCATAAAAAAGGTTATTACAAGACAGATGTGAACAAGTCATTAATGAACTTTATTTTCCATTTTACAATCATCGATGTATTCAATTAATAAGGCCTAATTTGTTATCAATTATTACAATTTAGTTGCATTTTGAGGACGATTCCACTTCTCGTCAGTTAGCAACATCGCCTGCGAGAAGCTAAGTTTAAGTACACACAGAATGAATGTATTTTAAATATATATTTAAGACTGGTTAAATGCGTTTGCGGTTGAAAAACCTGGTGGGAAACGAAGATAGGCTCTGTAGCTAAGACTTTTCTTGGAACCCAAAGAAGTCTCCAGGTTTGTTTATTTTCAATCCATTCATTCAAGATAGCCGAAGACCCTATATCAGAGGGTAAGTTGCCGACAGAAAGACGGAGAGATGTGGCTCCATCAGCGGCTGTCTAAGCTAAGTCTCCGGTAACTCTCCCTATAGCTGATGGTGAGAGGTATACTGACAACAACTGCTGCTACCAGGACCCAGTTCATGTACTGGATATCTGAATACACGACAAAATAATGATGTTAGGTATATCACTGGATATCTGGATACGCGACAAAATAATGATGTTAGGTATATCATTCGCAAAGACTAGAGAAAAAATGAGTTAAATGTAAAGCTGAGAATGAACATTTACTTAAAGTAATTTTTTTTTACTATCAGGCTGATCTACAAAACTCGTAATTTTCTATTCTGAAAACATTTTGATTGATGCCGTGCATGTATGAAACGTTAAATTTGTCCGCCTAGTACATGTTGTAAGAAAGGCGCATTAACACCTGAAAATTATATCTTTGTGTGTGCGAGTGTGTGTGTGTCGTGATGTCTTCGGGGGGAAGGGGGGGCAGGAGGCGACAAGCATTATGCTTTACCTACCAACTTGAGGTATCATAAACGAGAAGAAGAAGATGACCGCCACCCCGTTGTACAGCGCGGTCAGTAATCCAGCAGTGACCCCTTCGGCCACGGGATAACTCGCCTCACACGCCAGCTCCAGCCCAAACGGCTGAAGTGCTATCTCACAAATGCCTCCCAGGATGATAGAGATGTAGGTCATCGCTGAAAGAAACAAGACGTAATTTTTGCATACATAAAGATGTCCAATGATCTGAGCAATGTGAGATAAATAGATAGATATGTTTTTATTCTGAATTGTAAGCAGAGACGCATGTAATTAAGAAAACATTTTATCACTTTCAGAAAATCAGCAAATCAAGCAGTCAAAGATATATTAAGAACACCAATGAGAGATACAACATATAGGTTGATTGGTATTTGGCCAGTCCAGGCAGTTATTTGTTTATTTATTTATTTATTTATTTGTTGGTTTGTTTGTTATGACTCAATTGAGATTGTACGACATTACTTTAAAGTGGCAGGTAATCGATCGAGTGACTCGAAGGTGTGATAAGAGGACTAAAATAAGACGCTAACAAGAATGTATAGTAATCAGCTACGCATTAACGAATTGTGTGAGTTTGCAAAAAGTGAAGTAATCTTGAAAACAAGATAAGCGCCGTTTCTATTGTTTCGAATAAGCCAGATACCAAGCGCAACGCTCTGACCTGGATTACAAAACAGCCTGAAAATTCTTTCTTCATTTTTTTTTTTTTTAGAAAATGAAAACTAGGCCATTTGCTCGCGTCAGGTCATTTAGCTTGCCAAGAGTAAAGTGCAACTTTGGAAAAACCTGCAGCATACGTATATAGTCCTTGCCCTCTACCAGGGCCGCAGTTATTATTGTGGACATTTTTTGCTGAATCGAGAGCCAAAATGACTGTCTATTTATCTATAGAGATATCTGTGAATATCTGTGAAAAATCAATCTGTCGTCCTGGTAGAGGGTATATAGTCCTGATGCTTGAACAATCGGGCATCAAGCATATACCCGGGTCGCACTGAACCAGCGTGGTGAGATATTACGGTTGAACTCTGTTCAGCATGACAGCACGCTGCACAAAACCTTCGAGCGCGGAGAAGTCTTTGAAGGCCATCTACCAGCAGTGGTGTGACAGACTGGGATGAAGATGAAGATGATGATGATGATGATGATGATTTGCATAGGAAGAACAAGAACAAAACAGTAATTACCAATCCATCCAGGAACAGGTGGCAAAACAAACGTTTCTATCAAAGCAGCAAACCAAGTGTACGACCCGGCAGACACAAATAGCAGTATGAGAACTGCGGCCTTTAAGTGACCAGCAAATAAATCAGAGATCCTAGAAAGACACGTACCCGAGTAGTAATAACAGTTTTATTTTTACTATCAACAAAAGCAAACTGACATCTTAACAAGTTTTTTGCAACAATTACAACAACACGTGGTTCACTGTTCACATTAAAAAAGGTAGCTTAAACGAAACGAATTATTTTATCAAACATACCTTGCAAAAAGAACTGCTACCAAAATTCCAGCAATTGAACTCCAGAAACCTAAATACGCTGCCTCATCCTACAAGCAATGAAATATTTATTTCGAAGTTAATTCAAGATTAAAGGAAGAAAAAGGCTTTTTAAAATGTACACTTTAGATGAAACAGGATCAATATCGCATAGTAAACTTTGGAATGTGATTGAACATTAGTAAGCAGCAGGGCTTACCTGTGACACTTTGTCTTGAAGAATAACGCCTAGTAACGACATCCAGGACCCATACACCCCCGTTAATGCGTATGGGACGCCGATGGCAAACACTTGGTATTTTCTGCAACAAAACAGTAACACGGAGGGTAAAGGCCTATGCCAATTTTAAACAATAGTATATTTTTCGTCACCTTTCGTCACAGTAGCGCGCGCACGCACACACACACACACACACACACACACACACTCAGAGTAATCTCTGACCACAGGGTGCGCTGCAGTCTTTAAGAAAATTTTTGAAAAGCAGTGTGATTTGTGCAGGATTTTAGGGGGGCTTTGATGAGAGAGAGAGAGAGAGAGAGAGAGAGAGAGAGAGAGAGAAGGAGGGGATACCGTAGCAAGGTAAAAACGCCTCTCCGGTAGTCCACTCTCTTCTTGGATGCGGATACACTGGGAGGCGTTGGAGGTTTGGCGGGAAAATACAGCAGCATGCTGACAAATACGGCCACACAGACGCCTGCCTCTGAAATGAAGAAATAAATTGAATTCGACCAATTATAGAAAAGCAGATAAGTAAACGTGGAAATAATAATGAAAGATATCTGCTTGAATCCCGCACTTCACTTACGGAATGCTTAGATAGATGTTAATATTATTCTCCATTTAATATACTGATTACTGAGTATGATTTTTTAAAACAATGTTTATTCATAGGAAATGGAGGCAAAGCGCTAAAAGCATTAGATGCTCTCCATCTGAGTATGATATTTGGCCTATATACGTTTATGTGACTTTCTGTTTTCTGCGAGTCCTGTTGCTCACTACTTCAAAATGCTTACCAATGAACATAAGTCTGTGAATGTCCCAAGATACCTCTTCTACAGATATATCACTGAAACGTGGATACGAATCATGCACGGATCTCAGTGGTATTGGCAATCTGTTCAACTCTGTGACAGGGTTCCCACAGATTTAAATCGATCCATCTGGATCGACCTAACTCCCTGGGGGTTCACGCTAATTTGCTGTCTGCTTCCGGGAGCCGAGCGCGCACAAAAGTTAATTACCCCTTTACAGCTTTTAGTAGGCGGGACAGACATTTAAGCCGGTTAAGCTGACAGCAATTTAGTGAGACTCCCCAGGGGGATAGATCGATCTACGACTTTTACGACAGCCAAGAAAAACGACAACAACAAACAAAAAACAAATATAGGAGAATGTTTCCCTTTGAACAGAAGAAATGCAATTGAAGGAATGAACTAGAAATGCGTATTCACGGAGGTAAGTAATACATTCACCAGCGCTTTTCTTGTTATATGCAGATTACTGTCGACCTAATTATCCTAAGACCCTGCTTCGGTAGAGGACTTCCATTGCTGTTACACAGGTGCTGTGTGTCGCTCTTTAATTCACGACCAGACAGAGCACAATGGATTATTGAAAAACAATGTGAGGGAATATAATGTTTACTATGTTATGTTGGACTCTTCGACGAAACTGCTACAGTTTTCCACACACGTCGGTTTTCGAACGGCCAAAGGAGCTAAAATGAGAAATAAAAACCCTCTTGCACCGACAACTTTAAAATTCACTTTACCGCTTTAATTATTAATTGATGTAATGTTACTGTGTCAAATGATATTTTTCTTGGATTCAACATTCCTTTGCTTTCAGAGGAAAAATAATTGAAGAAGATGTTAAATTTAACATGCCCCTGAGGTTGTGTTCAGTCTGTTTTAACAAAAAACGTTTTAGGTCTTATAGGTCTTTGAGCTTAAGGACCATTCCCACAGATATTTGGACTGATCTATCTCCCTGGGGAGTCTCACTAAATTGCTATCAACGTAACCGGTTTAAATGTCTGTCACGCCTAGTAGAGCTGTTAGGGGGTAATTATCTTTACCCTAGCTAGTTCGGTAGGCGTGACAGACATTTAAGCCGGTTAAGTTATTTAGTGAGACTCTCCAGGGGTTAGACGAATGTCACCTGTTCAAAGTAATGGGGAAGGGGCTACGTACGGTTCCTAGTGGACTATCATTCCTGTCACAACGGCTAAGTACATTTGCTGTATTTTCTCTCCGCTCACATGTTGACTATTTAATCCAAAATTACAGATAAAACAATGGATTGCAATTAAGTCAGTTATTGGTATTTACCTATAATGAATGACAAGGCACCTCCAAGTAATGTGAACACTGTCACGGCGGCAGTGACGGTGGTTCTCTGTGACACGGGAAACCAGACATTGGACAACAGAGGGCCCGCCGCACAGCAAACCCCGCCAGAGAGACCGTTTAGTACGTGCCCAACATGGATCAGCATATAGAATTGAAAAAAAATTATATACATATAATTGAGGTCTTTTTAGTGCGTTTTGTGGGTTGAAAACCTTGACCCTGACATGCGTTTTACCCGAATAAGTTATAATCAAAGAATGAATGGTCTCAACGGTTCACACCAGTTAATGTTACTGCATATGCAAATAAAGCGACATGTACTCTCTGGAGTGTGAAAACAACGAGAAACGCGAGAAGGTTCAGTACGTGATGGTCACAGTCTATAACACCACATTTTGTAATTTAAAAGTGTTACGTATTAAATCTGTGCTGTTGGATGAATCAGGTGATCATTCGACCTCTCTGCACAGCGCCTTACCATGTTGCCATTCTTGGTTCCATTGTAATGCAACGGCATGCAGCCCCCGCGGCGACTAGAAAACTGGCTCCGACGCATGCCCATCTCATACCTGAAAATGTAGCACTAAACCATTTAAAGGCAGATCGGGTGTGTGCGTATGTGTGTGTATGTGTGTGTGTGTGGAGAATGTAAAATACACTATGTGTAGATTTGTAGGACTTTGCCAATCGGTAGCACGTTTTCAGTAGTGCTTCGCACGTTTTAGCCGGTGACACCACTTCTTGTAAGAATTAACGTTTGTTTGACTAGTACCGTAAATGTTCTTAAATTTAGTACAGTAATGTACTTAAATTTAGTATAGTAATACCGTATTGTTCTTAAGCTTAGTACGAAAGCGTTATTTAAATTGCCTTACCTTTATAACCGTAATTAACCTAAAGTTTTACTAATAATATTTAAAGATATTGTCACAACTGTATTACCGTAATTGGCCTTCAGTTCTGGACGAAATGTTTTTGTAAACTCTACTTTGAAATTATCTTTCTATTGTATTTTGTTTAGCATTTCTTTTTTAAAGTTTACCGCCACTATATCTCATCAAGACGTGTTGTATTGTATTGTTATGCTGTCTGATGACAAAAGTCAAAGATTAAAACAGGTTTATTCTTGGTATCGCATAAACACACTCTTTCAAACAAAATCTCACAAATATTCTCACACATCATTGTCTTGATGATCTGTACATGTAGCTCCTTCTTCATCCGTACATTTGCAAATATTATACCTTTCTACTGAACCTCAAACATAAGTGTACCTTAATTCGCAACAGTGGCAGATTTAGAGATGGGGTCAGAGTGGTTCTGATCCCACCCCTTCGATTTCTGGTCCCCTCTTGAAATTAAAATCCACCCCTGCGTGATGAGCAATACAATATGTATAGCATATTACAGCCGAAGTGCGGATGCATGTACTATCACGCATACCTGGTGAACGCATTTGGTTGTGAGCAAGGGGGAATTCTCAGTACTCTTACTCTGTATTACAACACGTAATTCATTACGGCGGAGCATAAACCAACCGGTGTCTCCCACGTCACTGTTTGGGGACGTGCCTCCTCTCTCTCTGCTAATGTCACTGCGCTTGTAGACCAACTTATTATCAGTGAAACTTGTCTCGGTTCTTCTGACTTTGGTGCCTTCCACAATGCCAGTCACATCAACCGTAAGTTAATATAATTTGTTTGAGTTAAATTAAGTGCACAGAACTGCGTTACTTATCAATGCGGGTCACACCACGTGTGTGTTGTTTTGATAAAATGGTTCGTTTTATTTTCCGTTTTATTTATGTCATGTATATTCATTTCCAACAAGTGGTACATGTAATCAAATGTCTATAGCGTGAGTAGTTAGAGATGGACGCCAGGGTTCTCTTTTACGTGAGGATTGTGTGAGGATTGTTTTTTTGTCTGTTTGTTTGTCTGTCTGTTTGTTTGTTCGTCTGTCTGTCTGTCTGTCTGTTTGTTTATTTGTCTGTTTGCTTGTTTGTCTGTCTGTCTGTCTGTCTGTCTGTATGTTTGTTTGTTTGTTTGTTTGTTTGTTTGTTTGTTTTTTATGGAGGGGTAACTATAGTTACCAATGCTTTTTTAAATTGTTTTCTTTTTTAAAAGTCTTATTAATTTTTTTAATTTTTTTTTCTATTTTTTATGACATCATTTTCTTTGTTTTTGAAAATCTTAGCTTGTCTGTTTTGATTTTCAGTCTGGTCTCATCCTGTAGGTAAAAGTAGGCTTGCACTGAAGTTTGATTCATAGTCGACTGTGATTATAGTCGATATAGGCAATTCCTATATCGACTATAATTATCAATAAACTAGTTCTATAGTATTGAACATTCAGAATAAAGTTTCTTGTGTGCAAACAATATACATGTTGACTAGTTGTCTATCACAGATAAAGATATGAAATGCTCGAAAAGCATGGTAAAAGTCGCCCTGCCTTATGGTTTACTATAGAGATAAGTTACTTACGATTCTTTTTTTTTTTTTTACTTACGATTCTAATTACATCATTTACAGAAAAAGCAAAATAGAACGGTGCTTCAATGAAAAAAGTAATTTATTTCTCCCACTTTTACAAAACTTTTTATATGCATTTGTGTTTAGCGAATTACAGATTTCCACTTTATCTTCCTGTTTATTATCTATTGCAAGGCTCAAAACATTTAGAGAAAAATCTTTTGAATAGGTGAACCAGCAGGAATGGAATCAGTTACCATCAGAACTAAGGCACTTAAACTCAGCAGATGATTAAAAAAAAGTAAAACTTATCTTTTCTCAAATATTAGAAACTATGTGAGTCTTCTTAACCTTGCACCCCTGTAAAGAAACAATATATATACCAATTTAAAGCAGGATATATGCTTTCAAAACCAGTCTGTTTACTTTTTTAAACCGATAATTTTAAACATAAAAATGTAAGTGGTTGAAATCTTTTGATTTGCAAAGTCAAAATATTACAAATTCAAAAGTTTTTTTTTTGCATTTAACAAGCACGATCGTTCTTAAGACAGGCTACATTTCAACCTTATTCTAAAAAGGTAAAATATAAAGGGGTTTCTCTTAAATTCTTTTTTGCTTTAATTGCATGACGTCATGCAACGGTTTGTCAGTTTTGCATTTATCGTTTTTATCCTCTTGGGTTTCAATGCTACAAGTATCATTATATAAGTTTTATTTATTTCATTTTGGACATTAAAAAGTGGGAGGGACTTGAGAAACTAATTATTGCAAAAAGTGCACAACAAGTTAATGAAGAGTACCTACATTGCAGATGTCGGTTGTCGAAAGACAAGAAAAAACTACGTAGATGTACAGCATTGTAAAAACTCTGTTGACGGGGAATTAGATGTTCTATCCTTACCAGCACATACACACACACTCGTTAAATGTTCATGCTACGGCATTTAGGTATTAAATGCTGGCCTTTTATCAATTTTTTTAATTACATATGTGCGATTTGTCTGAAAAGAGGGCAATTTATGAAGCTAGAATAGCCGATTGTGTGGAAAGTGACAGATATAATTTGATATGAGGGAAATCTATTTTAGTTGAATGTGGTGAATATATTATATGTGTCTTATGACCTGTGGACGCATTTTTATATAAATCGTCTAACCGCCTGTCGTCACGACCGTTTGCTTCGCAAGATCGGTTGATGGACGGTGTGATGATGGACGGGTAGTATCAAGCATGAATGAGTTTGACGACAGCCAGGTAGGTTTTCAAAAGTTGTTTTAGAAGTTGTTTAGGAAGGTCCGGGAAAGAGGAACTGAACTATAGGAAAAAATTGAGAAAGGCTGAACGTGACATTAATGTTTTCAACACCTTTTTTCTGCGGTTGTAGATCTTACAAGGCGTAGATGCTCATGTTGAAATACATCAATTCAAATAAGCTTATTGGCCACTTTTTTAATGGCAATTTAGTACTTCTATTGATTAGAATGAAAATATTGTAGTCTGACGATAACAAAAATTCAGCGTTTTTAACCATAGGTATTTTGAACCTACAATATTGACAATTTGAAAACTGAAGTTAAAAAAAGACATGAATGCTTCTGATTCTGATAGAGTGCGAAAATTAAAGAGAGAGAACAAAAAACGTACATTTCTTTCCATTATACAATACGATACAGTTGCATTTTAGTTATGAATAATAATAATAATAATAATAATAATAATAATAATAATAATAATTTATTGAGCACAGAAATGTTTTTTTTACATTTAGAGGCTCTCTAGCTACTATATATATATATATATTATACATATGGAAAGATAGTACTAATAGTAAAAAATAAATGAAAAAAATTATACCTATATAATGTTATACAAAATACATTGTAGTAATATACAGGTGAGGTGCATGAAATCTTTGTGTTAATTACGTTTTTTCATAATTTCACTTACAAAATTCCCTACTGCAATTGCACTCTGTTCAGTGGGTGGGTTTAGAATGAAGTCAAACTGTTTGACCTTGTCTGCTAGACCCTGCAAGTTTAACTCTGGTATGCATTCGAATAGCAATTTTCTTTCAATTTCGTGATGGGCGCAATTTAGGAAAAAATGAATTTCATCTTCCACCTCATTACAATGGGGGCATTTTCGGTCTGAAAGTTGTGTTTTTGGGTTTGTATGTCAAGACAAGTTCAAGACACCAAAACGATATGAAGGATACATGAAAAAAGGAATTTATTTAGTTGATGATACTTTGAAAAGCTGAAAGGACCAGATCATTTTGATAACGAAGTTGCAAGATCACCTAGCAGTGAATTTATTTTCAGTTTGCATTGTAGTATGTCTTCTAAGACTGGGTTCCCATACCTAGATCGATTTCTCGCTAAATTTTGCTTTCAGCTTAAGCGGCTCAGATGTCTGGCACGCCAACTGAAGCTGTAAAACGATAATTTATTACCCCCCCCCCCAGCAGCTTCAGTAGGCGTGACAGACAACTAAGGCGCCTAAATTGATTGCAATTTAGCGAGAATCTCCTCGGAGATAGATCGATTAACAGTTAGTACAATAGGGTCCGGGAATGGTCCTTAGGAATCGAATTGGATATACTGAATGGCTTTCTTATCACTTCAGATTCAAGGAAAATGGTACGAGATAAAATTCTACGAACCTA